ATAATATTATATTATTATATTATATTATATTATATTATATTATATTATATATTATATTATTATATTATATTATATTATATTATATTATATTATATTATATTATATTATATTATATTATATTATATTATATTATATTATATATTATTATATTATATTATATTATATTATATTATATTATATTATATTATATTATATTATATTATATTATATTATATTATATTATATATTATATTATAAATTATATTTTATATAGTATATACTACATATATAGTATATATATACTACTATTATTTTTATATATTACATATATACTATATAAAATATATAATATTTTCTTCCTAAAATATCTTCTGCATCTGGAAACTTGCATAAAAAATTCACAGACTCAAAATAACAAGGTTCAATTATAATTTAATTTAAATTCAAGGTTAAATTATTTATTAATTAACAGATGAAGTTTCAGCAAATACAATTTCGCCGTTGCAATAAAGCAATTTAGTTCCATCGTTAAGAAACATCACGCTCGATCTGTTTGCAGCTTTGGACCCAGCTCTACCAGAATTCCAGTCAGCTATCAAGGGCGCCAGGGTTTCTCGCGACGATGCAAAATACGTGGCAGTGATCCACTCGAACGCGGCTGTGTTTGGTTTCGAAAAAGCAATCGGGGACATCGACTTCTATCCCAACGGCGGCGCCATACAGTCTGGCTGCATCACCAACACCTGCTCGCACTCGCGATCGTACGAGTATTTCGCGGAGTCTATCAACAGCAATAAGGGCTTCGAGGCGGTGAAATGCGACAGCTACGTTAATTTCTTGAAGGGTACGTGCAACTCGAACGGTAAGACTTTAATGGGAGGTCTGCGTTTAAACCGTAAAATCAAGGGAACGTATTTCTTGCGAACGAACAAGAAAACTCCGTTCGCAATGGGCAGTATTTAAGGTGACTTGCTGATTCTTCGACGACTTGTGAAAGGAACAAAAATAATCTCCTTTTAGCACTAGATTTGCGGAACCCGTCAAAATGACGGGTCGCTGATTTTTTCATTTACGATTATCCATATCGTAAAGATACATTTATGAGGTATTTATTCAGTTTATATGTTACTTACGGCAAATGTTACAATAACACTTGTTCAAAATCAGAATAAATGTCTTATTGTTACTTTTATAAACTAATATAAAACGGCTGTGTTTTGTGCTCCGTGAATCTAGCGTTAAACTACTTTTGGTAAGGGATGGAGAAAACAGTACTTATGAATCTGATAGTAACAGTTATGTGCCTGACAATGATGCGAGAGTGGATGTGTAGAGTGAACTTTTACACGTATTCAATAGGAAAACTATCTGCAGATTAGTCCTATGACAATGTGTATCATAGCACTTTTCAACTCCGAATGCATTTTTGTTCGAGATAAAACTCTATTGACAAAATTGTAAAACATATATCGTACCGTGTGGTAAGATGTTTATACATAGCGTACAAAAACATGTCGATTTTAGCGAGTTTTTAGGTGAATAAGTTGTACATATAGTTACATTATAGTGTACACGTTTATATTTAGATAAGTTTGCGTCTTGCCAAGTTTAATACGGATCACTATTTCGACTTTTACTGAAGATCCATATCGAGACAATGTTTTCGCGTAATTCCTAGTTCTCTAATTAAGCCAATGTAGATTTTGTAAATAGCTATCGATCTACTATTTCATCCATGTAAAGCAATAAACGCATTGAAGTCAATCCTAATGTAACTTCAATTAATTTTTCCCTCAGAATTTTTGACGAATTCTTGTTATCACGTTGTCTTCAGAATGCAATGGTTCTGTGATTGTAGTTGTTTTTATATCTTAAATTTCTGGTACATGAAGCAATTCGAGAAATCTCAGTAATAGCACGTTCAGTTCTGGTGCCATTAATTTCATCTATGGAGAAATTAATGAAACAGCGATTAAGTAAGTTTGAGACCATTTAATGGGAATCCTTTTGACACGTGGTTTGAGTCCTAAATCTCCAAAAAATGTTCGGCGAATCATCATGGGTCTAAAGACATTCTGGTCGGCGAGAGAAACACGTGGGCAGGGGGTAATGCCGGGTACGATTAACGCGGAGGTAACAGACACGTTTCCTCTGGTCACCCTTCGAGGTATATTTAATAACCACTCCTCGTTTTTATACCCTTGCGGAAACTCGTTTTGTGACAACCTCTGACCGTGAGAAACCAGGTCGACGGGGAACTGCAAAAGCTAACTCTTCCGCACGCGGAAGGATGTCAATGACTTTACAGGATGCCAATGACGTAATGGTCATCGATAAGCTAGGGACGACTATTATGGATGACTATATCTCTTTTATTTAACTAAATAGAAACTGTTACGAAGGCCATCCGAGGTTTTTCGGATGTACTTGCGTTTTATCTGCGCACTTTTGTCAAAAAAGCAAAAATCTAACTCCTGCGATTACATAGGGTGTTATCGAACATTTTCGTTTGAAATGTTTCCGTAGTTTGTAATGATACCAAAAAATGTGTAAATAAAGAAATGTCTGTCAGTCGAGCAACGTGGTAAAGAAAATTCTACTCGAGGACATACTTCAAGGTTAATCGAAGTATTTCTGATCTGTGTAACGACATACCTAATGAAAACATTATTAGAACTGTGTACAACATATTGACCTTCAAATGAGCTATAGAGGAGTTACCGGTAAAATGTCTTTGCATACATTTTTTAAAGAATTAATTTTATTCTCAGTCCTTTCTTTTGTAATATATTTCATAACGTTTTATATATTATTGTTAATGATAATAATAATAATAATTATATATATATAATGATAAATATGATGATAATAAATAATAATTTTATTCGTAAGGTACAAGGGAACTTTACAAAAACACGTTGACATAACCTATATACTCTACGATAATGTAGAGGTCACACCTATGAGGTCGCCAATTTTAATGAAACTTTTTGTGATGATTCTAAAGACAAATTTAAGTGAACACCAGCCCGAGTTTTTTTGAGAATGCTCATTATTTAACGAAGATATTTAACAATTTTATAATGTTTGGATTTTATATACAGGGTGTCCCATTTCAAGTAACGCACTCACACCATATAGCTCGTTTCAAAAAATATTTCAAATGAACCTCAACCTGTTTCGAAAGAAACACCCTGTAATAGTAGCAAATATTTGCTGGGTGCATGTGCTTCCGAGATTTTAAGGTGGCCTTGCTTCTTTTAATGGAACAGCACAGTTTGTTTATGTAAATGGATTGTGCATTTCAAGATCAATTCAACGACCTATGACACTTTGATCTTTGAAGATCGTTCAAGATCATTTTATGCTGTTTCATTTGATGCTGATTAAATCATTTCTCGAGATCGACAGGTTTAGTGTTAACATGTTATTACTAGCAATGAGTACTGTAAATTTTCCCTAATTTTCCTTCACTTTGTAAACAAGAATAGATAATTTGGGAAGAGGAGATATCATTATTCAAGCTTAGCGGTTCATTTGTATATTTGCCGATTGTCAACAATTATAAACAAGAAAATATTGCATCTCCTCTTCCCAAATTGTCTATTTTTGTTCACAAGCTGCGGGACAATTTGGAGAGAATTTACTGTACAATTATACAAATAGTTTCATTAACACTAGATTTACGGAGCTCAAAAAACAGCTATTTTATATTCGTTTACAAAAGTAACAATAAGACATTTATTCTGATTTCTAACAAGTGTTACTGTATCATTTGCCGTAAGTAACACATAAATTGAATAAATAACTCATAAATGTATCATTACGATACGAATAATCGCAAATTAAAAAATTAGTGACCCGTCATTTTGACGGGTTCCACAAATCTAGTGTTAAATGAAGCCGGGTATCTATTCTAATAATGAAATGACGTTGATATATTGGGTTGGCAACTAAGTAATCGCCGATTTGTTCAATGAAATAAAAAACTTTTTTTACTTGGAATGAAGTTTAATCCGTAATGTATTTTCCATTTTGTTCGATGATCTTTTGCCATCTCTCTGACAACATGAAAATTCCACGCTCGTAGAAAGTCTGATCCTTTTCGGCCAAAAACTGAGTTAAGTGAGATTTTACAGCGTCATCATCGTTAAAAGTTTTACCACGAAGGGAGTTGTCCAGGGATCGAAATGAGTGGTAATCCGATGGCGCGAGATCAGGGCTATATGGTGGGTGTAACATCAATTCCCAACCAATATCCATCAATTTTTGCCGAGTGGTCAAAGACGCGTGCGGCCTATCATTGTCCTGCTGGAAAATGACACCTTTACGATCGACCAATTCTGATCGCTTTTTCTTGACCGCTGCATTCAATTTGTCCAGTTACTAACATTCACGGATAATAAAAAATAACATAATAATAATAATAATAATAATTTTATAACATAACATTTACGGATATCATAACAATGGGAGTGAGAGACATCTATAACTGAAATCGGCAATTACTTAGTTGCCGACCCAATACAACGATATCTGCTTAAAAGATCATCGCAAATATTCGCAAGCACTTAAAATTTTTTTAAGTGGTTGTACATTGGCAACCTTCGCCTACAATCCATAGAATCAAAATGATTTCCGCGAATCGTAGTTCGTGAAAACGTCGATCGTCTTGATTCGTGAACAAAGGAGCTGTCTCTCCGGTCAGATCGATCGATCGTTTCCTTCGTCCCGTTGACCTCCAATTAGTCACGAAATTATCTGAATTGCTAACCGGTCACCACTCGTTTCGAAATTTTCCACTTTGTTGGCCGCGCGCGCTGCCGGTATGTGTGCACTTGTTCGCGGAACGCGTTTCACTGAATTTACGCGTGCATCGCATAAAATAATTGCTAAATGAATCGCGTTCTTGTTTTTCCCCCCTCCGACGCGTAACTTATTAAGCAAACCGTTTCGATTAACATGGTGATTAATTACCAAGGTCACCGATTGATGACGATACGCGTCATATTTACAATGCGAGCCACGTTCAACCCGGAAAATAACCGGAGACTTCAAACGAACATTGAAAACAATTTCTGCCTCGCGTTCGCCGTAATATCGGCGATAATGTAATATTATGTTCCCGCCGGAAGCGCCGTATAAGTAATTAATACGTAATCGAATGAATTAAAATTAGAATGTATTGGTATTAATTATTCCGCTTTTGTTTGGGAATGTCTGGCGACGAGACCGATCGGAAACTTTTGTCCCCGCGATTCTTTTGTTTCCCTCGTTAACTTTTGAGTGCATCACTTTTCTTTTCAACCTTCCGCGAAATTGTTGATTTCGGTGGCATCGGGACTTGAAAAGGAAGAAAGTTGAAGGATTTACTTCTTAGGAAAATATTCGGATTTTCCGTTTACAGCATACAAGAATCTGCACTAATTGAACACTTCTTTAACACTGGGATTTACGAAACCCGTCAAAATGACGGGTCAATAATTTTTCAATTTACGATTATTCATATCGTAAAGATACATTTACGAGTTATTTATTCAATTTGTATGTTACTTACGGCAAATGTTACAATAATACTTGTTAAAAATCAGAATAAATGTCTTATTGTTACTCTTGTATACTAATATAAAACAGCTGTTTTTCTGTGCTCCGGTGTTAACGACGAACGAAATCTCTGTCTAGACGAATTTAATTGCTATTTAAATGAAAGTATTTTTGTGGAAGTCTTATTATTTATACACGTACTGCGATCATAATCGAATGAAAGCACAATAAACAAATTGCTGTAACGATAAGACGAAGTTCAGCCATAAAAATTCATTAAGTGAACAATCATAAAACAAAGAATAGTGTACTCTATTTTAATTCCTTTTACTCCTAGAATCTATAATTTTCATTCGTTTTCTTTTTAATATGTTTAACATTTCTCCCAGCTTGATTACAAATTGCTTCCGAGAAGATAAAACTGTGCACGTGCCAGGTGTCCGAGGAAAATTCAACTATTAAGGAGGCGATCCGAAGAAATCGAATTACGAGTAATTAGCGATCGTGCGACAAAAGGGGCATAATTTCAGATCGTAAATATGTAACGCGAGCCGAC